TTTCCCAATAATTTTCATATATAATTGGAAGATAATGTAATACTTTTATTTTTTAGTTTTATCTTCTTCTGTTAATATTGGTAAGGTTTACATAACTTTACTTTTTAACGACCAAATAATTTTAAAACGATGCTGTATTTTGTATGTTTATTTTTTAGTACTATCACTATCTGAACGGATTGGTATGGTGTATAAACTGAACTTTCCAAAGGGATTGTAATTGCAAAATTATAAGAAGAATTTAATTTTAGTTTATTATGCCTATGTCATTAATTACAAACTATTATTTCTTTATTTTTATCTGTTCCAGTTGGTAATGACGAATACTTTCTATCTTTGAAACTTGGTTTAAGTACTTTTTAATTACGATGCTTTATTTCTGATATTAAATGTTGAATGTTGCATAAAAAAGATCCAGCTTACTGCTGATGTTGTTTTCGGTGAGTTACAATTTAATTAATTCAATAACACTGCAAGTGGTGTGACGTATTAAAATTTGTGTTGCAAGTGTTGTGACTTGCATAAAAAAAATAAAGCTAGTATTGTGACTTTCAAAAACTTTATAGCAAGTTTTGTGACATGCAAAAGTGTATAGCAAGTGTTTTTGTAAAACATTTGTTTTTGAAAAACAAGCGTTTTTGTCAAACAAAACTAAAAATGTATAGCAAGTGTTGTAACTTGCATAAAATATAGCAATAAAATAACACAGCAAGTGTTTTGACTTGCATAAGAAGTATAGCAAGTGTTGTGACTTTCATGAATATTAAGGCAAGTGTTGTGACTTGTAAAACTTTTTGATAGACAGTTCTGGTTTACCTTCACGTGGTGCATATTGTTAGAAATGATAATAATATAGTTTTATAATTGGAAGTATTTATTTTAATCTTCTGATGATATGAATACGCTTATTTAATATTATTATTATTAGTCGAGTGACGACATTTTTCCACTCATCCGTTTTTCTACGGGAAAGGGAATGGAAAAATAATCACGTGAGAATGCGCAGTTTTCTTACGGACTTGTCAAAAATATATATCTCCCCAGGACTGGGGAGATATATATTTTTGATATATAAATATATATCTCCCAGACTGTCAAAAATATATATCTCCCCAGTCTTGCAATCATTTGTTGTAACGCAAACCCAATGCAGATTTCCATCATTAAGAATTTGTACAAATGGATCACTCGGACATATATCAAACGACATTTTTCCTTTGATCGGATCCTGCAAAGCAATAGAAATGTTAAACTGAATTGACATCATTTGTTGAAAAAAGTGAATGACATTATCATTTAGCATTTTTCCTTTTTCAATGTCATTCCTTTCTAAATCTCCAATTAATGAGCATTTCAGATGATGAATATCCCTTTTAAGTTGGGAATTATCATCAACAAAGTTAGCTTCATCAAACTCTTGACGAATATCAGATCTTACATTTACTTTGCATACACTACTTTCAATTTTTATCGATTCATTGGGTACTGTAAACATTTCACAATTTTCTTTTAGTACATCGTTTGTAAAAACCTCGGTCACACTAGGTTCATTTTTTACTTCAGATATCACGTCAATATTTGAAGCTGCCTTGATCATGTCAAATTTTACACGAACTCTTTTGGGGATTTTCCTTTTGTGTCGAACAGGAAGATTAACAAGATGTGGTAAATTTCTATCCGGCTTGATCCAAGTTTCTGTTTTTTTATCCAGAAGCAGGATAACCCCTTGCTCTCTCTTAAGAGTTTCTTTCTTAAGAGTTTCTTAACTCTCTTTCTTAAGAGTTTCTCCAAAGGTAATTTTAACTTTTTAAAGCTCATCAAACAAATTGTCTATTGCTATTTGAGAGTCACATAAATGCGTCATATTTATTATTGCATTTAGGAGCTCACAACATGCTTATGTCTTGCCTGCGGAAGACCATGTGCTAAATTTTGATCAGGATTGGAGATTTTCATATCTACAGAACAAAAACCGTGTAATGACTGATTATGTTCAGGTGGCACAGATTCATCCAATGGTTTTTCATCTGCGAGATTATTCATACCTAATGATGTATTGTTTGAAGACAAATCTAAAAAATTCTTTGCATCTGGCAATGGGTCAAGCACAAAATATGCTGAATCTCCATAGGAGGGATTAAAATCAGACCACGACAGATTTTCTTAAATAAAATGGCAAAAAAATGATTTCACGGATATGCACTATATAACCAAGCAGAACACGAACAACTTGGCAAGTGTTTTGCATCACCAAGATAACATTGGAAGGTTTCTCTACTATTACTCTAGAATGAAGCAATATTGTATAATCTGTTTGTTGCTGCAGTAACTCTGACCAAATCCATGCTTAATACTTTGTCTATCATGTTTTACTTAAGGTTGTGGACGATTTGTCAAATATGGAATGTTATCCTTATATTTTCTGGAATATAAATTACTGGAATGTGCTCTTCTATTTTTATCAGCATAGCTAAAGGAAAGAAAAATGTCTTGCTGGACAAAACTCAACTAATTCAATTTAACAATACAGTAATGGTAACAATTATAATATTTTTATAAGTTTTACATACAGTGGTGGCCAAATTATTATCCTGTAAATGTTACTAAATGTAATTTTTGATGCATTTGTGCAATATATTCATAAATAATGCAGCGTTTTTACTTCAAGAATTTACTCATCACAAAAAATAGGAATAGTTAAGAAAAGCAATATTTTATAGTAAAAAAGCACAAAATTGATCAGTTTTAGTATTAAAAGAATTAAATAGGGTTCATGTCAGGTGAATTATCTGGCCATTGCGAAAGCTTAATGTGGTTGTCAGCTAAGGTGCTCCATCTTGCATAAAAGTGAACGATCATAGTCAACACTATTTGCCAAGTTAAGGCAGCAGTCGTAAAATGCTTCATTAACTAAACATGTTCATTTTTAGAACATAAAAATTGACTATAATGCAATGTCTGGCACCTCTTATTAATACACATTTTCCTTTTATTTCAGCTCATAAACACTAAACAAATAAGAAAATACTGACCCCTAACAGATAGAAGATATTTGATCAAAAATAAATAAATTGCACTTATAATCACTTAGCCAATATTGGGCTATACATGAAGTAACTATATATAAATTAATTTAAATAATTTATTTGTGACAAAGTAGGTACATTTCAAAATAATCCTGGTAATTAATAATTTTATAATTTGGCCACCACTGTAGAAATGAAGTTACTACCATTTATATTTGTAATGAAATCAGCAGTACTATTATAAAAGTGGTTCAAGCATAAATAACATAAAAATAACTAACTTTTCATAATTATGAGGAAGAAATTCCTCAATACAAATGCTAAGCATAGAAGTCAGAGAAGAATTTTTTCTTTTCTCCAAAATTTGTATGTATTTCAAAGATTGGTTTAGTCATTCAGTATCATTGTTAGTATTAATATTTCGCAATAAACGATGTCGTCGAAAAGCAAACACCCATCTCTAAATTAAAAGATTAACGCTACAAGCAATGGAAACAAAATTGCAACAAAATAAGGAATAATAAAAGAAGTATTATTATATAATATTAATATGAAAAGTAGTATTTAATCATTCCTAAAGACTCTTGCTAAAGGACAGACAGAAACAAATTTTTTTTTTTTTGTAAGATATATACTAACCTTTGGGTTACATAATCAAGTACTATTTAAATATTCTGCTAGTTTCGGGTTGCTTTTTATCTTTTAATGTGTCAATAGCATTTTGACAAATTTCCTAAGTTGTTGCATGAGCGATTTTATGCAGTTTTAACTTAACTGCATCTTTAACAATACAACATACATTAGCAGTTTTAGAAAGCCACCTCTCCCAAGCTTGCTTTCGATGAAAGTCACAAATTAAAACATTACACCCTAAATAAAAACAGTTGGATTTAGTTTAAACAATGATTGAGATAACACTGAAAAAAAATCAACAAAACAAGATTATTAAGCAACAATCCTCACCTGGAAACACTAATTCCAGTGACCTTATTTCTTCATTTGAGTAATCAGTTAAACAAAACTCAGGTTGAAACACAGGGTTCCATTTTTAAATGTACGATAATACTTCTGTGATAGCAGATGTGGTTTTATTTTCACACACAAAAATAGCAACAACCTGATTATCAATGTTTGTTTTAACAACTGGAAAAAAAAGCGCTAGAGCATACTTTGTTGTGCGATATGTTGCATCAAGAAAAATAAGCTCAGTTCCGTATCGCAAAAGTAATTTTTTTTGCCACATATCTTGATAGATAAACAACAATGAATCCTTAAGTTCAGGATCATTACCATCAACAATGCTTACACCTTTTGGTCTAAACTTATCATTGCTTCTTGAAAGATTCTTCGCCATTCATTTATTTTATCATGCAAACATTCTTGATCTATCAAAGATCTGCAAAGCTTTATCCTTGCATTGAGCATATGATTTCGAATGGCCTTATCTATTGGAAAGAAACGCTTGTTTGTGTTTTGTAGATTATTATTGGGAGTAAATTCTGCTTGAACAAAAAACTCAAGATGCCGTCTAATTTCCGATACAGTGTTAACACCTTTTTTAACTAGCTCAGAAATTTTTACAATGAGATCCTCAGAAATGGGCTGACTGAGACCTGCATTCTAAAACAATAATGCTATCAATGTCATTGAAAATTTTAAAAAAATCAAAGCAACAAAGTAAAAACAACTCTAATTAAACAAAATATAACAGGAAAATATTTACTTACATCACCAACTGTATGGCTCTTATGAACAGAAATATCAGGAAATGTTAAGATATACTTTCTGCGCAATCGTTATTTTTAATTTCAAATCGAATCTTGAATCCAAGCAGATCTTAATTTGCGAATCGAATCATGAAGCGTATAAGCAATATGAGAAAAAATAAGTTTAACAATTTTTCATAATATACATTTGTGAATTAAATAAACTTTTATTATTTAAATAAACTAAATTGAAAAAAAAAACACAAACAAAAATGATTCTAAAAACACTTATTAAATTCAAATCACAAATCAAAGCAACACTTGATTTGCTGGGTCCTAATAACATATAAATAGACACACCTATAAATACCAATAGCATAACAATACCACTATTGCTCCAATACAATACCTTAAACTCTGGAAATTCAACAATTTCTTTTATACCATAGCAGGACAATCAAATTTTTTGGTATCCTGAAGATCGACTTTTTTGGCAATAGTGATCTGCACTCTACACATTACAATAAGTTAAATAAATTACAAATATAAATGTTAAATAATTTATTAACAAATCCCCCTCCCTCTTTCCTTAAAAAAAAATTATATATTAATAGTAATTATAACATTTATTACAGAAAAAAAAATGAAATTATGCTTTAAAATTAATTTTACAAAAACTTTATTTAATTTACAGCTTGTTAATTTTTATTTTTCTTGTACTGAGCTTTTTATTTAAGATTTCTGTCTTTTCCATGCTGACAGTCACGTTTTGCTAGTGTTAACACAATGAATGGTACTCCTGTGTAGGCCAAATCTTTGTCTTCATAGAATAACTTATGCTCTTTCTTATATATACAATTCTATATAAAAGAAATTACACTTCTCAAAGTAATTACTACGTTTCAGGAAGAAAACATAAGAAATGGAGTTGAACAACTACTACAGTTAGACAGAATTTTAATTACAGCTTATTTAATCAACTTTCTAACCTTCAAAGGTCTTTTCCATGTTACCTGTACAAGTAACGACATAATGTACTGTGTGTAACATTTCGTGTTCTGCGATTTATGCACAAACATCTGTATGTGTCAAGAACGTGCTTGACAACAGGTACTGTAGATTCAACTGATAACATTGTTCCTGTAATAAGCATAATTATATTTAATAGTCCTAAAAGCAATGCTTTATAGCAAATGAGTAGAAATCGCATGAGATAATAATAAACCTTACCCACTGAATGTTCAAAATCAAGGGAGCAATTATCTTTGTTCATTTTACAATTAAAAGTTAATACTTTATAAATATACTAAATAAAATAAATGTAATAATAAATAATAGCAATATTGTAATAGAAATAAGTAGTAATAAATTAAATAATAATTTAATAAAAGTAATATCATAAATAGCACAATTCTAAAACAAAAATGTTCTTTTGAACGACATTAAAGGTTAGTGCTAGATGTCGTACTTAAGTTCAATTCCGATATTACTAAATAAATTTAACTGTTAAAGAAAATAAACATAAAGAAAAGTAATACCATAAATAGTACAATTTCAAAACAAAAATGTTCTTTTGAACGACATTACATGGCGCACGTGAATTTTTGATTTTAATATCGTTTTAAAATTACATGGATATTACGTACGCGTAAACATTTTTCTAGGTCTGCGATTTAAGTAAAATCGGAATTGTACTTTAGAACGACATTATCTAGCACTAACTTATTTTAATAGTTTGGAACAAATTTAAATCAGCTGTTTTGTAAGTTTTATATTTAATATTTATAAATAGAACTTTTTTACTGAAAAAAGTGTTTAGTTTCATACGGGCAAGGTAGTGGTTTGGTACCCCTTCTGTCCATCCGAAACGCCTAATGGGTAGAGTTTAACAGATAGCTGCAGCCCACTCTCACACCTATCTTTTGACGCCAAGATATTTGTATTTCGATAAGAATTGACAATTTTAACACAATTTATTACATTATTACATTACACTTTGATTTTTATTTTTTAAATTAAATTTAACATCAATAAATTAAACTTTTATTAGATTTCAATACATTATTACATTAAAAGACAATTTGTTGTTACTTTATTTAATTTATTACAAGTCATGACAATTTAAGTGAAAAAATACATTATATAAAACTGATCCATATCCATATATAAAAAAATCGATACTTAGACCGTTATAACTTTCACACCAAATGTTCGATTTTAATACTTTCTTCACCTTTAAATTACTGTAATAACCCTCTTGCTATTGATATATTACACTACAGAACTCAAGCAATTTGAAATTTTTAACACATACGTATTAATAGAGTTACATCAGCTAAAAATTACTCAAGACCAAAGATAACGATATACTAAAGACCACAGATAACAATATACTCAATAAAGGTAAAATATGAACCAGATTAATACTGATATACTCGAGATAACGCGTTTAAGGTGCGTTGTATCCGCCTGTCGGCAGAATAATTGCCTAAGCAAAAAAAGATTTTATTTTTTATGTAGTAAAATGTTGGTCGGGTTTTGTTATAACTTATCTAGATTTTATAAATTTATAAATATAGGGTTGCGAGACGTCCGGAAATATAGTGAATTTAGCGTGTATACAGGAAATATAACTAATATAGCGTCGAACGGTTCAAAAAACTATTGCCTGTGTACTCCTTCTAGACATCTGGTAATCCTCTATATATTTATGGCCGTGAATAAAAACATACCTTACAATGTCAATTTTATTTTTTTTAATATAAATCACAAAAAATCATCCCAACTATTTGATATCGGACCTGCCAAAATACGGGGTGCGTATTCACAGAACTTTCGTAAGTCAAACATTTGCGTAAGTTTGGCGTAAGTTTGACGTAAGTTATAAACTAGCTAATCCCGTATTCACAAAACTTTTACGCTTGCTTACCAACAAGCTTACGAATAATTTTTCATAAGTTTAATGGTATTCACAAAACATTTTAAGAAAATGCTCAGCTCGATTTAAGCAAGAAAAGTTACGTTAGGTAGGAGCTACCTTAACTTTGGCGTAAATATTTGCGCAGCAAAGTTATGTTGATTTATTTGTTATGATATTTTAAGATTTAATACAATGTTGTTTAATTTAGTTATAACCACTTCATTATGCATAATCTGTTAAAATTATGTTATTTACAACATTGTAACAGAATAAAATGTTGTAAGTAACGACATTTAATGTTGTAAAACCATTAAAGATGACATAGATACTTAAGCTAAAAAGTGTTAAAAAAGTTTTTAATTAAAGCATCTTCGATACATACTATTAGTCTATATCATCTATGTTTTTATGACATTAAATGTTGTTAATTATAACATTTTAATTTGTTAAAATATTATAATTTATAACATGTTTGTAACATCTAATTTAAATGTTGTAATTAACAACAATAATGCAAAATGAAATTGTTATAAATTAAACTTTTGATTTATAACTATTGTCTCTTGAAGTAGTAACTACATACTCTGTCTATACATTTAAGTATTTTTATTGTAAGTATAATTATACTTACAACAAAAAAAACTCAAATGTATAGACAGATAAGATATATTATATAAGCAGTTAGATTATATAAAATATGATGTAATTTATTGATATGTTCTAAAAATTATGGTAGTCTTTATTCTATTAAAATAATATTTCTTTCTGTGTTTCTACAAATAAAGGTATGGTAAATTAATGTAATTGTTTTAGCATTCAATCTTCAGGTACTCAGATACCTTTGGTCCAAAATTTTAAAACAAGTATCAGTTTTCAATTTTACATTTATTAATGCAATGAAAAATCAAGTTTACACGTATTTACTCTTTTGCTCTGGCAAATATTATACAAATAAAATAAAATAAATTCACGCAAATAAAATACAACAAATAGTTCAACACATCATTTGTTTCTTGAGCTGTCTTGTAAACTTATAGTCAATTCAAAATTGCCTCAAACCAAAGATTTATAGAATACTTTTTACATTTTATTTAATAGTCTGATATCATTTAGTTAAAATGGATATTCCAATAATTCTGGCTGCACAAGGGCACAATCAAAATTGGCGTGAAACTAAGCGTGCTGTTTTGAATGATTATAATGATGTGGAATGTCGTCAAAAGTTTCGTTTTCCAAAAGTTATTATAAATGACATTATCACAACTCTACATTATGATTTTTCACCATTGACTGCAAGAAATAACCCAATAAATACAGAAACAAAAGTGTTGATATCACTCAGACTCTTAGCAACAGGCACTTTTCAAGGTGTAATTGGTAAGAAATTAGTTTTAGCAGTTTTAAAAATACATTTTTATAATTTCTGACAAAAATGTCCAGAAGTGTAGAGGGAAATTTATTTTATCCAATTATGGTATTTTATTTGGTTTTAGTCAAAAGACACTAATCATTAACATGTTTTTTTAAAGATAAATAACATACATATAATAATAAATTACACGACTAAAAGTTTGTTTGGGGCTTACACTTAATTTCATATAATTATAGGTGATACATCAGGAATTAGCCAGTCCAGCACAAGTCGGATACTTAGTGAATTTTGTAGGTGTTTTATTCAGCGTTATCATCACCTCATTAAGTGGTATGGTAGCAAGGAGGAGATGACGGAAGTGAAAAGAAAGTATCAGCAATCATGGGGCGTTAAAGGGCTTCTTGGGTTGATTGACGGTACAATGATACCTATCAAAGGAGCCATTGGAGATGATGAGCCAGCATTAATTGCAGGTAAATGTCATCATTAAATTTTATCTGTTGTTATTATTATTTTTGTCTTTATTTTTGTTATTGTATGTTTCCATAAGTTAGATAAAATACAAATTAATAATATCATTATAAATATTATCTGGGCAAATTATAGAATCTTTTTTGTAAAATTAAAAAATGCATCACATTCAATACAGCTTAACTGTTTTGATCATTTCAGATATTTATTTTTATATTATTTAACCTTTTCATAATATTTTGACCTATTTTTCAGAAAAGGATATCCTGCTGTGAATTGTCAAGTTGATGTTGATCCAGATGGTATATTTAGAGATGTTGTAATTAAGTATCCTGGTTTATGCCATGATTCATTTATATTTGCAAATTCTACTCTCAAGCAGACGCTAGAGTTAGATCCAACTGCAGGCTTTCTTTTTGGTGACTCTGGATATGGCTTGTCACCTGTCATTATAAATCCATATAGTGTGCCAGCAACACCAGATGAAATTTATTTTAATCGAGTTCACCGAAAAGCACGCAGTGAAGTGGAGCGATGCATCGGGCGTCTTAAGAACCGTTGGAGGTGCTTTCATAAAAGTGGTGGAGCGCTACAATATACTCCAACGATGTGCTGCAGTATTATTCTAACTTGTATTTTACTAGAAAATATGTGTCATTCAATTGGCTTAGAGATCCAGTTGAGTTTGATATTGATGATGATGATAATGAAGATGATGATCATCCTGACAGACGACTAACCAATCAAACCCGACTTGGTATGGAAAGAAGAGTCCTTGTAAAAAACTATTTATTTGCTAATCGTAGACTTTAACATATTTTATTAATTTTGTTTGTATAAAATCTTTTGAGTTAATTATATATGAATTCTAACATACACATATTTCTTATCTATTAATTAAACTTATTAATCTAATATAATTACTAAAGCCCCATTAATCATTTGATATAAAAGTCTCCATACGTGTAGAGAAATAAAGTCGAAAGTTTAAAAGATGAAAAAAAAGAATATTTTCTGCAAAAACTTTTTGCAGCTCTGTAAATACCTGTTATATAAATTGTAAATACTGTAAATACCTGTAAATACCTGTAAATACCTCTGTAAATACCTGCTTATCTGTTACTAGATGCGTTTAAAACCTTTTAAAACCTCATATTTATATTTATATATGGGAAACATTTGAACACCTATCATTTCTTGATAAGTAAGTATTTCAAAAAAATAAGATTAATTTCCAAAACTTTGAGATCTCAAATGACCCACATCAGATTAATTCGGGGTTGTGGGCTTAGCTGCGCCTGGCACCCAACAGGCCCCTGATTTTTTTAAACATATGATATTGCAGCTGTGGGTCTGTTGGGGCCACTATACCACTACTACAAGGGCTTATATCCAGCTTTTTAAGTACTTAAAAGCTGTGAATTTAAAGTACTTAGGACCCTGATTTAAGTTCTTACGTCCCTAAGTAATTTTTGCACGTTAATTTGTTGAAATGTTCAACATTTTATTGTTCCAAAAATTGTTGTATTGTAAACTGTAAACAGCTTCTTTAGCACGAAATTCAAAAAAAAAAGTAAAAATTGATGTATTGTAAACTGTAAACAGCTTTTTTTACACGAAATTCGAATTATTTCACTTTTTAAAACTAAATCCAGAAGAAAAAAAAGACTCTTTCTGTCTATCTCATAGATTTTGTTTTCAAAACATAAAACAAGAGTTATAAAATAATGGTTACGAAAATAATTTAACACGATAAGCTGTTTTTGAGGTCACTCACTAGCTCAGCCCCCTCTGCAAACGCTTAGTTCACGTACCGTAAAATTCAACACCTAGGATAAAGGATAATAGAAATGAGAGATAAGGAAGCATTTGAAGATGCTATCAGGGTGCGTATTTGTAATCACCCTAATAGAAAAAAAAAGGAAAGAGGATGGCAATTTTATTTGACAAAATAAGTTATTGATTGTATTTATTGTGGTAACTAAGTGCCCAACATGTTTACTTTTTGCATAAATAGTTAAAACATATTCTTGAACCCCCCCCCCCCAAAAAAAAAAAAAATTCTGAATAGTCCTATTTTAGCACGACTCGATTAAATTATTTTCCATTAGGAGCAATATAAAATAGTTGTACCGTATTACAACAAGCATTGAATACAGTACAACGACCGCTGCTGTTGTATAAGAAATAGTGTTGTTATCGGCTTCGACTAAATCGACTAAAAGTCGACTAGTCGAATAAGAGTTCTACTAACAAGAGTCTACTAAGAGTTGGACAATTTTAGTAACTTCTCCTCAGAGGGGTCTAAATTTGTCATTGTTTGTCATTTTTTCTTTACACCCTTCACTCGCAAAGTATGTAATAAACTCGGATACTTCAATTTAAACGCATGCTTAGGTTAAAATTTGTATAAAAAATATTTGTTTTGTCCTTTATTTGTTTTTAGGTGTCCTAAAAAGCGTTTAAGGTCTAATCACAGAGCACCATATACCCCGGATCTTATGTGTCTGAGGCAAGCGCATTACCACTACGCTGCCCAAAATTGCTTTTTGAAACTAGTTTAAACAATTAAGGAATGAATTAAACTACTCTGAATTTTCTATTGCTTAGAGTAAAATGATATTATATAAAATTGATTGGCTGATTGGCTGTTAAACATACTTCCCTCAGCCGATTTATAGGTTGTAAATTTCGAACATGCTTTCCAAATAGGATCGTATAGTTAGTACAGTTCAAATGCACGACAGTGCAGAAAATTTACTTTAAACTATAGCAACATGCTTCCTCTCATTAATAACATCATAACACATTATTATGTCAATGTTTTAAAACCAGAAGCCCTTCCTGACGTTAACATAAAGATTGTACCGGATTACATGTTACCAGTAACAGGACAACCTCACTTGACGTAAGGATAACCTGACCTGACCTTTATGTTTGTATTTATGACCTTAACTGATATTAAAAAATGAAAATCAAATTAATTAATTACCTTCATTTTTAAATTTATTTTGCAATCACTTAAAATTTTCAAATATTTTGACTAAATCGACTTTTAGTCGACTTAGTCGATTTTGAAAATGTGTTAGTCGACTTTAATCGACTTTAGAAAATACATTAGTCGATTTTTTTACTTTAATTAGACTGAAATTTGGATTTTTTAAAATATAAATTTAACAAAGTTAATATGAATTTTTTTTTGAATTGTTGGTCCTGTGAGGGGGGAAGTAAAGTAAAGTTGATGTCAACAATTATTTACTGAGAAAAAATTATAAGTGATAATTAATAAAAACATTATTTTTCTATAAATTCATTTATTATTATTAGCATTTATAGTATTATTAACTGACTCAAGAGCACAGGCAATCCTTTCAGTGGATCCACAAAAACGTTCCATTAATGTAGATATGCGACTGAGAGATTCACCAATACTCTCTAAAAGTGGCGTTTCGTTTAACCAATACTCTCTAAAAGTGGCGTTTTTTTCACAGTTGGATTTAGAGCAGTGGCAATTTTCTCTCCAGCTGTTACAATTTTCGCCCCAATTTTTGCCATATCTGACATATAATTATCTACATTCAATGATGACAGCTTTGTATTATTCGACATTCTCGGTTTTTTAATTTTGATATTCTAAAAATATAATAAATTTAAACGTTTTAATTAACTATCAAATAAGCTAATACATAATAGGCTATACCACCCCATATTTTTGATTGATCATTTTGACTGATCATTTTAAACTTTAGTAAATAAGTAATTAACTTTATTAAAGTCAATTACTTTAAAAATGTACCTGGTTTTCCAGCATTGAAATTGTTTCAGTGGCAGCTGTAGAGGTGCTAATATGTTGAGTTACAGTTGGTACAGCATTAGACAAAGGTACATTGAATAAATGTGAAAACGGTGCAGAGGAAGTAGTTGACAAATCTAATGATTTTCGCAAAGGAGTTTTTCTCTGAATAAAGAGAAAAATTGGAGAAATAAATAAACTACATAAGTCACTGTACAAGCAAATTAAGTATCTCTGTTTGGTGACAGTGAAAATTAAGTATCTCTGATTGCTACATCTGGGTAGTAAACAAAGCCACCACCTAGGTAGCTTTTTAATAAATATAAGATCAATTAAAAACAAAATAGTTCATAGTTTTTGAACTGTTATGAAAAAATATACAATAATGATAAAATACAATAAAACTTATTACACAATTATACATTTTAATATTTTTAATTCCATTTAATAAAGTTAATTTACCTTTACGTAAACTAGTTTTGAACTTTCTGTATTATCAAGTTGTGAAGCATGTATTGTGCATGGTTCATCAAAAACCTCTTTGTTTATTATTATCGGCAGTGAAATTTCACTGAAACTTTCAACCTGAAAAATAAAAATAATCCTAATATAAAAATATTAAACATTAGAAGCTTAATCAGCTATATAATCCTAAATCACATATATAATCCTAAATAAGTAATAATAATAATAAGTTAAGTAATAATTGTTTAAAAATTTTTAAAAAACAAACTCCACATATAATAGCTTTACCTCAGTATCCGTACCAATTTTTCCAGAAACTTCATCAAAAAGTACTTCTTGGACAATAGTTTTTTGCTGAGAGTCAAAACCTCCAGGAATTCCCTAAAATTACAAACAATTATTATGGTACGGTGAACTATACAAAATGAATACTAATCAAGGTTTAATTTGAAAATTAATGCATCATTCCTAGTTGCAAATAAGCTTATAATGCAATAAAAATGTTTGTGGTAACTTATTAATATGAAAACTAATAAATTTTAACAGTGTAACTGAACAAAGAATTTCTAACATGTAAAAAAATCTAACCATGTAAGAAACTTTTGGCATTTTAGCAATCAACAGTTCATCAACAACATTAAGCTGATCGCTGCATCCTTCACCTCCGCCAGTTTGATTCAAACTGGATGTGATGCGGGCTGCTTTTCCCTTGGTTTCTGACTTCTGGTCAGATAACTTCTTCTTACATTGAAGCACTGTTCGATCTGATCCAAGAAGAGAAACTTGGTCAGCAATTTTTGGACCACAGGCTGTCTTTTGTTAGTTTAGAGACAACTAAATAAATCACCCATTACATTTCTTACTTATAGTGACAAATTATTATCTATTATAACTTTTATTAACGAAATACAAATTTTTGATTACACAAAAACATCCTTAAATATTCAGTGAATGAAAAATACAAGAATGATAAGTACCAAAACTTTAAAACCAAAATTTTATGTTTACATTAAATATAAATTGTTATCATACAAACAACACATTTGCTAAAATTAAAATCAGAGATTTCAAAATTTCTGATTAATTTATAAATGTAATGGTAAATTGTACCTTGAGAAAACTTTCCATCAAGCATTTGCTTATTTGCACTGTACTGTTGAGCCAATAAAACCAACTGGTCATGTGTCCAATTTTCAGATCTTTTTTTGCATTTTTTAGGGACTTCAGACACTAAATTAATATATAATTAATAATTTGAAACTCTAAAAATTAATAAAAGGCAGAATAATAAAACTACTTAAATGTCAATAAATTTAAAGGTTGTATATAACTAAACTCTATATATTTAGTTTTTTAATAGTGTTTATATATATAAATATATATATATATATATATATATATATATATATATATATATATATATACATATATTTATATATACATAAATATATATATATATATATATATGTATATATATATATATATATATATTTATATATATATATATATATATATATATATATATATATATATATATATATATATATATATACATATATATACATATACACATATATATACATATACACATAACTACATACATACATACATACATACATACATATAAATACTTACTTGTTTAGGATGAATATACAGCCAATATTAGTTTCTTTAAATTATTATCAGTGAGAAATTTATGCTTTATAGTACAAGAATTTAATTTAATGTAGTTATTTAAATTTTATTACAGGAAGGACATAATACTTGATTCATTAAACTACGTTATAAATCATTACCAAATTTCATCCAAAGCAAGTTTTTAACAACTTAATTTATTGCTCAATTTCTAGTTCCTTTAGTCTAGTGGTTTAGATTAGTGCTTTTAATAACAGATTTTTTAAATTTTTATATTATATACTGTTAAATTTTAAAAAAGTAAAAAAAGACTTTAAAATACTCACTACCTTAATTGCAAATGTCGAGAAATTTCATTTGTTTACATAATTAAACTCAAACTTAATATATTTTTTGCGTAAGTTTATGCTTAAGGTTTGCGTAACGCTTGCGCAGCCATAGCTTTACGCAAATGCTGCGAAATGTTTGTGAATACGAAATAGTTAAGGAAGAAAAAAAGAACGTAAGGTTTGCGTAACTTACGCAAAAGTTACGAAAGTTTTGTGAATACGCACCCGGGTCTTTGTAAGTTTTAGTAAATTCCGGTAGGTGTCATCAATCAATCAAAAACCTATTCCGACGTTTGAATTACGCCTAAAGTGAAAGCGTTTTGCCCAAAGTTAAAGTTGTTTGCCTAAAGTAAAAGCAGTGTGCATTTAATATAATTTATAATGTATAATAGAGAAAATGTAATATTTTAGTAATATTTTTGTAATATAATAATTATTTTGTAATATTAATAGAGAAAATGTATAATAGAGAAAATGTAAAATAGAGAAAAAACTCAAGTTTCTGGGACTACGCTCTTTGTCACTTAGGGGAAAGACTATGTTGATCAATGCGTTAGCAATGTCGAAAATTTGGTTTCTATCAAGCACGTTGCCTACTCCTGATTGGGTAATAGACCGTTTGCATAGAGCCATTTTCGAAAATCTGTGGCAAAAGACCAATTTCAATCCGGTCAAACGAGAGACACTTTTTTACCCGTCAAAAGCGGGGGTCTCGGAATTTTATTTCCGAAGGAGCAAAGTCTTGCACTTCGCCTCAAAACACTCTTTCAATTGAAAGAATGCAAAGAGGACGAAACTCACGATTGCTACAACTTTTCAAAGTACTGGTTGGCAAGTTCACTTATAAAAATATACGAACCAAAACCAATGCTGGAACTTTTTGAAACAGAACAATTTTCCAAAACACTGGGACAACAAAATGTCTCAGTCCTACAAAACAACAATAGAAGCTTTAGGTCAAAACGGGTCCCTGTTTAACATCCCCCTAAAATCAACAAAAAATTTTTACTTAGAAGTGGCAAACAACCAAAAGACAGTCGTTACAGCAGATCGTTAAAAACATCAAATGCAAAACTTGTGGTAAAATCGAGGACAACATACACATCTTTGCTTACTGTTCTCCCTCTGTTGAAATTTGGGAGTATTTTAAACATGTATATAACTCCTTGACATCCCAAAACAATTTTTCTCCGATAAACTCTATGTTCTTCATCCAAGCAGCAAATTTATCGGAAAAAAATCTTTCCTCGCAGCTGCTTTTGACTCTCACTCAAACCATCATGTGTGAGATGCCACCATATGTACAACATTTCCAAAATCGATCTGATAGCAGTGATCAGGGTAATAACCGGGAACATCAGGAATATTATTACTTTAAAATATAATTATCATGTTCGAAAAAACACTGCGGACATTTTCTGTCAACTTTTTTGTATGAATAATGTATTCTGCCAAGTAGAGAACGGGAGTCTAAAACTAAACATTTGAGCCAAACTAACACACTGGCTCATAGAAAGAACAATATGTTTAGCAAAGACTTCCCGCTCTCTGCAAAAGATTATTCTTTACATCAAATATATTATTATTTATAATTAGAAAATCACTTCTAGCCTATATTTAATGACATATAATTTTATAACTTATAAGTGTTCTCTGTTTTGTTCGTAAAGTTATTTTTGTGTTATATTTCTGTAATTTTTAAATTAATTTCTTTCTATCACATCTTCTTATCTTTGCAAATTGTCCTTTAACCTATAACTAAATTCTTACTCTTAAACATTAACTAAAACTTCGATTTCTTTCCGCACAACTTCCTCAAAAAAAAAAAATAATAAAATAAAATATATATATGTAAAACAAGAAAAGCACAAAAAAAATAAAAAATATAAAAACGAAAAAATACATATATAATTATAGAAACAGTTGTAAAACTTATATATTGTAACAATAATATATAAATGTGATATTATAAAATTGTAAATATTTATTATTTTGAAATAAATTTTATATAAAAAAAAATAATAGTTTTATGTTTAAAAATTATTAAACCATGTGTATAAACAGTAAGTCAATCATATATAATATATATAATTGACTTAATGTTTATACACAATGTATAATAGTTTTATATTTAAAAATCATTAAACCATGTGTATAAACAGTAAGTCAATCATATGTAATATAAATGATTGACTTACTGTTTATACACAATGTATAATGTATAATAGTTTATATTTAAAAATTATTAAACCATGTGTATAAACAGTAAGTCAATCATATATACTAGCAGTAAGCAACCCGTAATACGGGTTAGTAGTAAATAAATCATTACCAACAATTTGATATTTATTTACTTTCTCTAATTAAATTTAAATTTAAACTTTTAGCTTCAATAAAGATAAAGTTAACCATTTCTTTTGCAATGTTCAGACATTGAATGCTCAAATCACAACCATGTAGTAGTTAAAAATGACTTGAATTCTATGCACAGATCATCGATGTCAAATTTTCAAATTCCGTAAAATTGTTTAGCTAAATATTGGGATCATATATTCTACTCTCAATTTTGCTTTAAGCTGAGTCGTTTCTTTTTTTTTTGAAACTTTTCATTTTACTGAGTGAAGAGCTTAAAAATATGTCACTATCGCACCTAAACTTTTCAATGTTATTAATATACTTTTTAAATATTTTTAAAACATCTAAAATATTACACCCAAACTTGTAGGCATAGAAGTTGGTTATCTGGAAAAACTATAGGTTGAAAAATATATTGCAATTTCGAAAAGGGCTTAGCCCTGCATACGGATCCTATATTATTATGATAAAGATTATTATTAAACCAACCTTTTTTTTAATAAGTAATCCAGCAGAAACTTTTTTATAAAAAAACAATAAAGGAATATATGGATTTACTTTAATAGCTAACGTGTATCAACATATTTATTTCAGCATACATCCAATCCATATTTATACTAATTTTATAAAATGTCCGGAATACATTTTGCCTTAACTTGGCGTTAAATTATTAGTTTTATTTTATTAATTTTTGTTTAGATCAGGTTAATAATAAAAGCAATTGGATTTTACTCAATATTGTTGAAGTAATTATTCAGCTTTAATAAAATTGATAAAATCATATAAGACAGTTAAAAGATATATTTAAACCTTTGTTCACTTTTTGAAAATCCGTAAAAAAGCAAGTATCAAGTTTACATATCTTTAAAAGAAATTTATTCACATGATATATAGTTAAATATGTAACAAAAATATGTATATGATGTCATGATATATAGTTAAATATGTAACAAAAACAGAAGCATATATAAAACACATTTTTAAAAAAAAAAACAAAGTTGAAGCCACCATTTACAGCACCGAGGAGCCAAACATAGCCTATTGTAAAGAAAACCATATCAAATAATTTCAAATATTTATTACCGATAGGGACGACAATTAAACATATTTAAAAAGCTACGTGATTCCATATTAGTAGGATTGTTATAGAAAATTATATTAAAAAAGTATATTTAAAAAGTATATTTAAAAAGTATATTTAAAAAAAAGTGTATTAAATAGAAAACAGATTTTTAAAAACTACCTAATTTTGTAAGCATTTTGCCAATGGTGTTCAAGTTTGAAACCAATACCATTAATCGAAAGCCGACTTATTTAACTAATCTCATTTAAAGAATAAAATTGTTATTTACTTAAAGATAAAGAAAAAAAAAATGAATGAGATATAAACAATCGTACTATAGTATAATGAAGATAAGTAGATATATATGAAAAAAACAACAACAACTGGATAACAGTATACCTGCTTTTGGTAACCTATTGTAATACTGCAGCAGTTGCTTTAGGGATGCAGCTGTTCTTTTTGGTGTTGTTCAAAAACGTAATTTTTATGCTGGCTTTTAGTAAACTTCAGTTTAATTTAAAAGACATCACAACGGATTTAAAATACTCATAATAAAAAAAGCAAAACATAAAATGCTTAAGGAGCCAAACTATAAACGTAAAAGATGAAGAATGGAATCGAGATAAATAAATTGTATTTATATAGCTAAATATATTGCCTTGGGTTTTGGTAAATTTTAAAAGCAGTGAGTTCAATAAATGAAACATACCAAATAACTGTTTTTAACAAAAGAATGCAGCATCATTATATTATGACAATTGGATAATGAATCAATTCTTTCGACTTTAGATTTTAGGGAGGGGTGTTTAAGAGGGCTTTAAATTTGAAGTCAGGTTTAATTGGTGAGAAAACACTTAAAATTTTC